TGGCTATTGTACGCGGCGCTTGCAGCGGCCACTGTAAAGCTACTTGAGCTCAGTAAAGTTGTTCAAATTCATTCCGTCTTCCCAGACTTGTGATTTGGGGAAACCTCCTGCTTGTCGACACAAGAACCTGCGATAAGTGTTAGCATAAGGGAATATGTACCCCCCCTTCCCCGGAATTTAACACAGGGCCCCCTGTATTAAGGGACAGGATGTGGTAGTCTGGGATCAGCATCACTGGGCTGACACATCTTGTCATCGCTTGCCAAGCCTTGTGTGCTCGCGCGTGAAAATCTACCTCTTACGTTCCCGGTGGGGTTGTTGCCGCTCGAGAGCTCGAAGCCAATCAATATGCAGCATATCACCAGCTTTTCCCCAATTAACTGCAGAAACCGGGTTCCTATAAGCCCGCGCGCAGAACACAATGACTGGCCTGAGGAGACTGGGAGCAACCTATTTCTGTAGGGCAGTTTGTAAGCAATCTATCAGAGGAAACACTGTCCAACCTTATAAGTCGTTCCTGACTTCTGATTTGGGAAACTTCCTGTCTGCCCTACCATCTTTCGACAAGGGCATCCTTACTGGCGTGTTGTGATGTGTCGGGGGGAGGTTTTGGGGATATAAGAAATTCCAATCCGTCTTTTAAATGGAGTAGATAGTGCACTAGGCTACCAACTTAAAACAGTTTTTTTCGACCCAGTGAAGTTAAAACAGGCAGTTAAAGTGAAGCAGTGGACTACCAAAACAAGTAAACCTGTCGAAGTAGGCCGTGGCATTTTTGGCTAACATTAAGATGATCAGAAGAAGAGGATGTGATTACTGAAACTAGCGTTTTATTTTCCTGTCACAAAATTATCAGGCCCGCATTCGACGCTGACAAGGCAACTGTGGCAATTAGTGAGTTGAATGCGAAGTTTCGAGCCAGTACTGCATCAATTAATATCCAAGCGGTGGCTACAGAAGTAGACAATTATCGCACGCACATGGATGATCACTATGAGCTATAAATACCGTGCAACCTGTGCATGTTTCAATTCTATGTGCGCATGAGTTTGACTAT